GCAAAGAGCTCCTGGTTTTTGTCCTGCTGTCTGTAAGGCGGGGATGATGCTTGGGCTTTGAGGAGAAAACAAGCAAATCTCCCTTTTTGTATATTATAAACAAACTAAAAACTTGAATAAAAATCAAAACTTTCACGTTTCAGAGTGACTGGAATTTTTTTAATTTTCTTAAAAATTTTAATAAAAGTTTTTTAATTTTTTTTAAAAACCCRGGGTTTCCCAGTTGAATCTTAAGCCCTACAACACCCACGGATACATATATGAAATATTTCAGAAGCAATTTTCTGGAAATGTACCCTGAAATTTGTGTTCATTCCAGAGTTCAAGTTTCCCCATCCTCAAAGGGAGATTTATTCAGGATAAAGCAGCTCCAATCCCTCCCGGCTGACATCACAGAGCTGGAATTTCAAAGCAGACGGTGCCATCCCGGAATCACGGCACGGAAATCTGCTCTGACAGAGCTGATTCTGAGAATTCTGAGCCTGAAGAGTTTCCACTCAACTTTTCAGATGAGTCAAAATGTGGGTGGAAAAATTCCTAACGGGAATAATCTTTATTGGGACAAATCCCACTCCTCGGTTTGAAACCGCGGAAATGTTCCGCCGAAACTCACGGCAATAAAACACAATTTCTGCCTGAAAAATTATCCCKGGGGAGGGCTGAAAAAGCGAATATCTGAGAGTTGAGAGGCAAAGCTGCAGAAAAAATCAGCTCCAGACGGGATTAGGGATCGCGACAGTCCACCCTCGCCCCAGGGACATGGAATTTCCCTCCCCGTGTGCTCAACTGCAGGAAGGAGGAGAAAAGGCAGAGGTGCTGTGTTCTGACACCAATATTTGTTTCTAAAATTCTATTTGGCATTGAGTTGTGCACACTGAATTGAACTTTTAACCTGTATTTCTATTGCTCTTCGTTCAAACATTGCCTTTGTYGGTGTTTTGGTAGCAAAATTCTCCCTGCTAAGATCTAAACCTCTTAAAGTGCTGATTTTGGATATCAGTATTTACCTCTAAAATTCCATTTAGCATCAAGTTGTGCAGATTTAATT